CCATCAACATCCATCCATCCACATCCATCCATCCACATCCATCCATCAACATCCATCCATCCACATCCATCCATCAACATCCATCCATCCACATCCATCCATCCACATCCATCCATCCACATCCATCCATCCACATCCATCCATCCATCCATCCATCCATCCACATCCATCCATCCACATCCATCCATCCACATCCATCCATCCATCCATCCATCCATCCATCCATCCATCCATCAACATCCATCCATCAACATCCATCCATCCGTCCGTCCGTCCGTCCATCCATCCATCCATCCATCCATCCATCCGTCACGCGCGGTTCAGGCCTCTCCCTGGCCCACGGGAGAGAGGCTTGTGCGGGCCCCCATTTGCGCCCATGGCATTGTGAATGTCCTCGCCATGCGCCTCGCCTCCTTCTTCTACCGGCCACTTTGAGCACTCGGGAAAGGACGTTCCACTGGCCTACACATTTTGACCAAGTTGATCCAGCCCTTGGCGCCGTTTATGACCTACCTGTTCTGTCGACCACCGAGGACTCATCGATCCTGCCGCACGAGACTCTGCTCCCTCCCCTGCCGGAGGTCCACCGCCGTCCAGGGTCCCAAATCCCTGGCCAGGAGAGCTTTCATTTTCCTCCTGCTCAACATGATGCGCGCACAGTTGAGCCCGGATGCAGCTCCCTGTTGGCCCGAGGGTTATGATGGTGCTGGACCATCGTGTGAGCCATGCACCCTCACACACTTCGCCACATCTCCAGGCGAAAGCCTCCAGCAGAACCCAGTGCGATCCGCCCGAAGAAAGCATTTAGACGATCATCGCCGAGACTCACTGGAGCTCTGACATGGAATGGCAGGACTCCGCCTGGACTTGTTTGCACTCGGTCCCCACGTCAAGACACACGCTGGTATTTTGGTCATGATTCGTAAGACCTTTTGCCCTAGCACGGCAATTTCAAGTGTTCACATACACCCAGGTAGCAGCGTCATAAGATGTGGCGTGAACTTGATGCATACTTACGTAGACTCCCTCATCGAAACATGCTCGTATGCTCAGGTGACTTCAACAACCGGACAGTGCCGAGTTTGTTCAAATTACTAAATCACATCAGTTAGTCGGACTTAACTGCTTTGATATCCACCAGAGCACATGCACCAATGTCTTCACACGAAGCATGTGTGTCGACAAGAAGTCAAAAGAGTTTCGACCGCCTCAGGACTTCCCATTAATGGCTGACAGCGTTGCCTTTCATGTCCCGCTGATTAGCTCCCTGCCTATATGCGCTGGTCACGTAAGTACACATCAAAGCGCTCCAAGACTGTGACCCTGCACCAACGAGAACAATGTCACTACTCCAGAGCCGGGAGCACTGAATCCTGGACGGCGTACGAAGCCCAGATGCAGTTGCTGCTTTAAGCGGACGTGGGATCCCACTGCCAAGCATATGGAGGCCCTACATGCCGAAATTCGTCATTTGTTTGATCAGCACTTTCCTCCCAGTGGATGCCCTCGACCCAAGTGGCTGTCCATGGAACACATCACTCAACAAAAATGGAACGCCTGGGCACTACTGAAAAGCCAGACCCAACGGTCTCTCCGTGGTCTTTTTGATTGTTGGGCTTTGTTTACTCAGTTTCGTCTGTTAGCCCGCCGCCATGCAGCACACGCCAAGGAGTGGCGCCAGCAACGAGTGAAAGACCTGATGAGTGACGCTGCCAGGGCAGCCACCTGTCACGGCACCTGTAAAGCTCATCAGTTGATCAACAGATTGGCCCCCGAAACTCAGAAGAAACGCATTCAGCTTCGTGACAAAGGAGGCGTGCCGTTGGGACCTTTAGAGTCTCACACTGTCCTTGCACAGTTTATTCGGAGCACGTGGGCTGACCGCAGTTGGACGATGTCATGACAGAAGTGCAACCGACCTCACCTGCACTGAATGTTGATTCCATGCCATTCACACGTCAGCAACTCGAGCACGCCATCCGTAAGCTTAAATGGCCAAAAGCGGTTGCTTCTCCCGGCCCTATGCTTCAGGTGGTTCATTTGCACCATTTGCACACGAACGGGCCCAGCATGTGTTTGCCAACCTTCAGATCTGGTGGGGGCAGGCCCCTCCGTTCATTCCACCGTCCTGGAAGAACAGTTGGTTGGATGGTGTGGCTCACGAAGCCCAACAAGCCCACAGATGTCCCTGAAAACCTCAGACCTCTCGCCAGGAACCCCTTGCAAAAGGCGTCGTGACCCTCCTTGCAACTGTCCTTCGTGACCATGCCTACAAAGAACTTTGTAAGTACCCCCAGTGGGCCTACGTCCACCACCAGGGCACTGGTGACGCCATCAACCGAGTGGCCACACATTGCATGGAGGCGCGAGAACTTGAGTACTCCCAACACCGTCGAACCCCCCACATAATTGCGCAGGGTCACGCACCGATGGCTGTTGGTGGAGGCCTTCAACTCCTGATTGACCTCAAAAGAGCTTTCGACTCCATGCCTCGCAAGTTTCTGGTCGAAAGTCTCCAAGCCATATGGCCTAGGTCTCTAGTGCATGGTTGATATTCTCCACAGCTGGCGCACTGACACACATTACGTCGTGGCCACCCAGGATTTTGAAGATTGTGTGCCAACTCAACTAGGGATTCGACAAGGATGCACCGGAGCTCCTGCCCTCATGGAGCATTGCAATGTGGTACTTATTGCCACAGGCACATGCCTTGCTGGGTTCGCGGGCTCTAGATTGCAAAAATTTGTACGCCGACGACTTCCATGTTAGTGACATTTTCCGGTTTGAACGAAGCATCGCTCGTCTTGGTGCACTCCTTGACTTGATCGAATCCACAGGACTGGTCATTAATTTGACCAAAGCACAAATGCTTTTGACGGCCAAAGGGCCCTGTCTTGCACATCTACTGACGCGACACACCTGCAGGACCAAAGACAGCTGGTTCATTCGCATCCCTCGTAGAGACGGTGAAGTTTCGCAGATTCGACTTGTCAAACAGGCTGTGTACCTTGGTATAATCATAAGCTATCGTAACATGTTGGATGCTACCATGACCTCACGCATCAAGAGCGGGCGCAACGCCCATCGCACACTACGGAAGCGGCTCAGAGGCAACCACTGCCTGCGCCAGATGGATACTCCATCACCGCCGGCGCTTTTTGATTTGCCTGAGCTTCGTCCGCTCATGGCAATGTGGGATGCAAGCCCACACATCCTTTGCTGAGCAGCCGAATTCGTAACAGTTCCCTTTGTTGGACCATGCCTGGGAACAGCGATTCCAGGCTGAGGACGGCGTTGAGGTGTGAGAAAAAGGTGGGCCGCTGTGTTTGCTGACCTTCAACTGGGTGGAAGAATTTGATTCACCCCAACTGGCCCTCCAGGATTGTGTGGAAGGGCCGGATACCTCACCTCCTCCTACTTCAAGTGCCTGCGCCTCGACCGAGGTTGGCTCTGCCACCAAGGCGCCGCCCTCATCCTTTGTGTGAGCATGAACTCCAATGTGCGCTCGCCGATCTTTGTGGACGGCTCCATGACCGTGCAGTTCATGGAATACATGCCCGTGGCACTGTTGTGTCACTTCGGCTCTTTGACTGGAGGACACTACGTGACATTGGTCAGATTACCCAACAACACGTGGGTAGAGAAGGACGACTCCCGGGGTAACAACACGTGGGTAGAGAAGGACGACTCCCGTCCGCCGAACTACATGCTTGAGCTCCCCCAGTACACGAGCACTGCCGCCACGGTGGTCTTCTTGAAGCGGGTGACCCTCCTGAGGCGGCAACAACCCGCCAACTAGAGCAGCTGATATTGATGCTAAGGTCATCATGACCCTCAGACATAGCTGTCCGGGAACCCATATCATACGGATTGGGTTGTGCTACGAGCTTTACCCTCGGCGTCCTGCAAAAGCAAAAAAGCATCCATCCATCCATCCATCCATCCATTCATCCATGTGTGTATAGATTGCCCACCAAAATATCTACGCTGTGTGACTATGTATAATATACTGTATATGAACTGTATATGTGTATGTATATATACTGTATATATATATATATCATCCGTAGCTTGATTGCAGCAGGCAGAATTGTAAGTTGCTTGCTTGTAGGGAACATTGCTTCAGGCTGGGACAGCTGCTTGAAGAAGTGGAGGACATTCATATAGAAAGAACGATTGTCAGTCAGAATGGAAAACCTTACATTTCGACATTGGAAGCAACCGGTATGCTTCTGAATGACCGGCAGGACGGGATGGGTGGCAAAGAAGGTGAACCTGCAGTTACACGCAACCCAACACTTGCCAAAAGCTTACACTACCAAGTTATGAAGTCCGTTGACCAGGTGCCAGATGGTCGCAGGAGCCGGGAAAATTTGTCGCTATAGCTTCATGGGTTTTGTCGTCATCAGACAAGCAGCATTCAGGATGTGATGCGCAGTGAAGAAGCAGCCAGAGAAAGCAGGCGCATGGACACAACGTCGTGTAGCGCGTCGTACATCGCTTTTGCGCGTCGTGTGAGGTCTGTCCTTACGGAGCCACTTCTCTTCGAGGTTGGTGAAGCTTCGATTCCCGTCCAAGACATGCCACGAGGGGACGCCGCAACAGTACGCCCCACCTGCTTGCTGCGTCGCTTTGAAATGTCAGGCAAAATACATCTGAATCTAAAATATGTTAAAATGCCTTTTCACCAGAGTCTGCGTTTGGGCGAGCTCATTCATACTTGGCCAGGTTGGACATCTTCAGCCTGCCATGTCACTGAAGGGATTTCCGGCTGGACATTGGACGCAAATTGCCCTTGACTTGGTTTTCTTGAGTGGCAAGTGTCAGTCAGAACTTTGCACTTCTGACGCCTGACGCCTAAGGCAGAAGGAAACTACAGCAAAAGATGGGTTCCATCCCCCTGTCTGCTCGCAAGAGATACTTTAGAATAGAACACCCTCGTTTTCAATTTGACACCGGACATGCTACTATGCCCTTGGCATCATAATCCCAGTGCTAGTCTAAACATGTCTAAGCTGTCCTTTTGCAATCCTCTTGCAACAAGAAATTACTAGTAGCGAGGCACTTGTTACTAGTAGCTTCTTGCTACTAGTAGTAACGCACTTGTTACTAGTAGCGACGCACTTGTTACTAGGTCTAAGCTGTCCCCAATCCTCTTGCGATCTTTGGCTCGGATTCCTTAGACTAGACTCCTTTGAGTGGTGGCCAAAGGGATTTGGTGGTCATGGAACATGAAGAAGGCAGGGTGGGTGTGGACGGGTGAGTTCCATTCTTTAGCGGGCCTTATTAACCGGCCCTACTCAACCCTTTTAACCCTTAGACTTTTTTCCCGAAAGCACCTGCGAAGGGATTCTTCTGAAAGGACATCTGCTCACATCATCTTCCAACATAATTTCCTACTACTACTATTACTCCTACTACTACCACTACTACTATTCACTACTACTACTACTACTACCACTACCACTACCACTACCACTACCACTACCACTACCACTACCACTACCACTACCACTACCACTACCACTAC